CTATGAGGTGGATTGATTTAGTGACTGGGGTAATAGGGATGGGTGTGTCAGAGATGGTGCGATTGGCACAGGACAGAGCAGAGTTTAGGGATGTTGTACATAGGGTCGATATGAGTCACAAGCGACTCGATGGCACATAACAACAACAACAACCACATTTGGGTTGACAGTGCAACTTCTTACCCACTAGGGCACCAGGGCTCCTAGGTAGTGGTAATAGCACCAAAAAAGGAGATCTCACCTTGACCGTTCTTTGCATTTTATTATCAAGTGGAATTCCCTGCTGACTAGATGTTAAAGAAGCTATCTGTGTAAGAACATTTAAAAATGCAGTGGTTGTGCTTCTTCCAGCATCAAAATTTTGAAAAAGTGGTAGATCACTAATGACATTTTAGCTCCATGTGTTCTGTAAAGAATTTTGTTTGTCTAAATATAACAGCCCTTATCTCACTGAATTGGGTTTATTTGTGTAGCTATCTACACCATTTAGGGAATTCTGGTGGCCTAAGCCTCAGGGAGTTTTGCTGTTAACCCAAAGTATCTCTAGAAGTTGAATCCACCAACAATTCTGGTGGAAAAGATGGGCAATTTTCTCTTGCCCTTGTGATTTACAGCCTTACAAATCCAATAGAGCATGAGCAGTGACTCAATTCAGGTTCCTAGGCAGTGAATTGAGTATTTACCCCATTTAATTAAGTGCAGGAAAGGTGTTGTAAATTTTGCAATGTGAGCCTAGTACAGAGCCTGCCATATAGTTATTGTTATGTGCCATCAAGTTGACTATGACCTACAGTGGCTCTTGTACCATCCTTATGATTTCCAACACGCTCTAGCCCATTGCTACAGAGACTGTGTCACTACATCCCACAAAGAGACTTCCTCTCTTTCTTTGACTCTTCACATTTCTCAGCATGATGTCTTTTTCTAAGGACTGCCCTCTCCTGGCAACAAGCCAAAAAGTGTGAGCCAAAGTTTCACCATCCTTATAATTAATGAGCACTCTGGTTGCACTTCCTCCTAGATAGACTTGTTCTCTTGACAGTCAGTGGGATATTCAGTATCCTTATCTAACACCACAGTTCAAAGGTACTGATACTTCTGTTATCCTTACTCATTGTCCAACTTTGAGATGCATAAGAAGCAATTGAAAATATTATGGCTTGAATCTGGTGCATCTTACTCTTTAAATTTATGTGATTACTCTTTAGCACTTAGAGAGGTTCTTGACAGCAGATTTTCCCAATATAACACATCTTTTGATTTCTTGAATACTGCTACAATGATCAGGGTTTGTGGATCCTAGTAAGATGACATTATTGACAACTTCAGTCTTTTGATGTCTTGATGGAAATTGCTTAGTAGTCCAATGGTGAGTTTTTGTTTGTTTGTTTACTTGATGTTGAGATGTAATCCATATTAAAAGCTACAATCTACTTTGATCTTCTGCAATAAATGCTTTGTCTTCTTCACTGTCTGTCACCAAGGGTGGGCATTTGTATAATGTAGGTTGTTGATAAGTCTTCTTCCAATCCTGACACAACATTCTTCATATAGTCCAGATTCTTATTTACTCAACATACACATACAGATTGAATAAATATAGATAAAGGATACAACATATTATAAAAATCTATAAGATATTTGATGGCTAAATAATTTAATATCAATTGTGTAGTTTTTTTGTAATTGTGTGAAATGGAGACTTGTACACCAATGTTCATAGCAGCATTATTCACCAACACAAAAACATGGTAACAGCCTAAATGTCCAGCCACAATCAAATGGACTGAGAAATTATGGTAAATTCACACAATAGAATGCTATACAACATGCAGGAGCAGAAGAATGTCTGCCTGTGTCTCATTGACTGTGCAAAGGCTTTTGACTGTGTGGATCACAACAAACTGTGGCTGACTCTGAAAAGAATGGGAATCCCAGAACACTTGATTGTGCTTATGCAAAACCTATACTTGGACCAGGAGGAAGTTGTCAGAACAGAGTAAGGAGACATTACATGGTTCAGAATTGGGAAGGGATGTATTCTGTCTCCATACCTTTTCAGTCTGTATGCAGAACAGATCATCCGGGACTCTGGGCTGTATGAGGAGGAATGTGGCGTCAGGACTGGTGGAAGATCCATCAACAACCTGTGTTATGCAGATGACACAACCCTGCTTGCTGAAACTGAGGACCTGAAGTGCTTGCTGCAGAAGGTCAAGCACTGCAGACTTCAAAACAGATTGAAGCTCAATATCAAGAAAACAAAGATTCTCACCACTGGGCCAATTGG